GGCGCTCTAAAGAATCGGCCAAACCCTTGCCGCCTTATACATGTGCATGAGTATGTATATATGTATATATATATAAGTTTGTATAGGTCCAGGGGGGGGGGGAGGGGGAGAGGTAAAAAACCAGGTCCAGAGGGGGGGGGGTAGGAGGGGGAGGGGTAAAAAAACCCTCCCAAAGGGAAGAAGGAGGTTGGAAGAGGAAACTCTTTAGGCCACCTACGCCCTAAAGGGCCGGTGGGATTCGCTAGTAGTAGACAGACCACCTGCGGCCAGAGGGCGGCGGCAATAGTCGCGGTGGCGTTGGAGCGGCGGCACTGGTGGCGGGAGCGGCAGCAGTGGCGGTAGCAGAGCGGCAGCACTGGGGCAGGGCGGCAGTGGTGGTGGTGGTGGCGGCGGCAGCGGTTGGCAGCGGCAGCGAGCAGCAGCGGCGGCGGCGGGCTGCTTCTTCGCCCTGCCCTCCCTGTGGCCCAGGTGGGCAGCGCTGGGCGGGCGCTGCTGGGCCTGCCGGCGACTGGTGGCGCGCAGGCGTCGCTCGAGAAGGCGTTGTTGCTGGGGCTAATAATCCCTGCCGCCCCCCCCCCCCTCCCCCGCAGCAGCCGCCGCCCCCCCCCCGCCTCCCATGGCGGTTGGCGGCGGCGCAGGGTCGAGGCAGGGGGGGGCGGCGGCTCGTTGGGCGGGCTAGTAGGTGGCGTACGACATGCTGATCGGCGACGCCCCGGTGCCTGGGTGGTCCGATCCGCAATCGCAGCAGGACTTGCTGGTTGGGAAAGACAAGGGGGGGCTGGTAGGTAGCTCCCCTTTAACCCTGGGCCCCTCCTCCCCCAGAGGCCGCTTGCTACCAACAACCTGGGGTGGTAGTGGGGGCAGGATGGGCCGGCCGCCTGCTACAAACCTGGGGCTAGACATCATCCCCCCTGCCTGGCCACCTCGCGAGGACCAGCTGGAGACCCGGGTCTTGGAGGCGCTAAGCGCGGAGCACCGGCGGCGCCTGTGGGCGGCGGTGGTCGAGGAAGACCGCCGTCTCGCGACCTTGCCGCGCGTGCACTGGCTGTCGACTTATCCGAATAATCTCATTCCATCGAAGCTCTGGACGGGGTGGGGCATGAACTGGTGGCTCGGCGGCGTGGCGGCTGTGCAGGATAGGGCTAATAGCTTGGACTGGGACATCCTGGTGGACTGCCTCGGCGCTGGGCCTGGAGGCGGGGTGCGGCAGTGGGCGGCAGGGCTAAGGGACCCAGTCCACTTGCCAGCATCGTGGAATTACCACGGGGTCGCGCAGCAGCTGAGGGGTGCGATAAGAGCCCTGGCTGCGGCGCCGCGCAGGGCTAAGGTGCTCTTCTTCTGCCGCCAGGGGGAGTACCGGTCGGCGTGCGTGGCTGCTGTGTGTCTCTGCGCCATGGGGCTAATGAGGGTTGAGCAAGCGGTGCGCCTCGTGCGCGCGAGCCGCCCCCAGGCCCTCCCACCTGGCAACTCGCGCGCCATGGAGGACATCGCGAAACTCGAGAAGCTCTGGGAGACCGAGGGCGAGGCGCTAAGGCATGCGGCTGCGGCAGGCGCCACCAGGGCTCGCGGGCGGCTGGGGGGCGAGGAGGGGGAGGGAGGAGGGGGAGGAGGAGAAGGAGGAGGAGGAGGAGGGCGACGACGACGAGGACGAGGGCGAGAACGAGAAGGACGAGGACAAGGTGGAGGAGGAGGACGAGGAGGGAGGAGGAGGAGGGAGGAGGACGAGGTGAGGAGGAGGGAGGAGGAGGAGAAGGAGGAGGAAGAGGACGAGGAGGACAAGGAGAGGGGGGAAGAGGAGGAGCAGGAACGTGAGGGGTCGGAAGAGAAATAGGAGGAGGAGGATGGGGGAGGGAGGGGGATAAGGAGGAAGAGGACAAGGGGGATGATGACGAGGACAGGGGGGGAGGAGGAGTGGACGGGCAGGAGGAGGCGGGGGAGGAGGAAGACGATGAGAGGGGACGATGATGTGATGAGGAGGTGAAGAGGAGGAAGAGGAGGAGGGGAAAAAAAGGAGGAGGCAGATGATGAGGGGGCGTAGTTCGTTCCAGGCAGAGTGATGAGGGGGGGGGCCCTGCTGCTGTCCCCCCTGTCTTCCATCTCCATCTCCTCGTCCTCCTCGTCCTCCTCGTCCTCCTCCTTCTCGTCCTCCTCGCCCCCCCCAACTTGGCTCCTCCTCCCCCCCCCCTCACCTGCTGCTGCTGCCCCCCTCCCCCAGGCTTCGACGAAGCCCAGTTGCCCTTGGGGGGGGCCGCCGTCACCGTGGCCTTCGAGCGCGGGTGCGCTCGCGTGAAGGGCGAGAGGGAGGCGGGGGGCTAAGTTTCGGCGGGGCGCCGCCGCCGCGGGCGCCGCCGGAGCTAAGGTATAAGCGGACAGACGGCGCCTGGTTGCCGCAGCGAATTTGGGAGAAAAGGTGGAAGAGACATAGATAGGGAGTAAGAGGGGGGAGGAAAAGGGGGGGGGGAGGAGGAGGAGGAGGAGGAGGAGCAGGATGAGGAGCCTCCCCCTGACGACGAGACGACTACCATGCTTTTTATACCCGAAGGCTAGGGGCAAGAAACAGTACCGAGTTCAAAGGCAAACAAGACGACGCGTCAATCATCTTCTTGCGCTTTCCATCGGCGGGCTTTAGCAACACCACGCCAGCGCCCTCGCCGCCCCCCCCCCCAAAAAAAAAAAAAGAGGGCCCCAGGGGGGGCATCATCTATAGGCAGGGGGATGCGCTTGTCCAAGGCAAGCGCATATTCAATTATTAAATGAGAGGAGGAGGAGCAGGAGGAGGGGCCAGGAAGAGAGAGGAGCAGGAACAGGAAGAAAGGAGCAAGTCATATTTGACTCGACATTATTTCCTGGCGCGTTCCCCCGCAGATTGGATTCCATGTGATCTTAGCCCATCCATGCGATCTTAGCCCCCATCGCGCGTTCAATTCCATTAGATCCCATGCCCCCCAGCAAGTGAATGAGAGCCCCAGGAGGGTTGAATCCTAGGTGCCAGATGCAGGTGGGCTAGGTGCCAGTTAGCGCGGTTAGACTTTTCGGGTGTAGCTTCCTCCGTTCTTTCCTCTCTCTTGCGTCCTCCTTCTCGTGCGTCCTGCCCTCTACCTCGCATCTTCGCCTTCTTGCTCCCTCCTTCCCAACGGCCCCCCTATGGGTATGGGTGTGTGCTGTTCGTTCGTCATTCTCCTCTGACCACTCCCCAGGCTGCCCCTGCCACATCGCCCTGGCCGAGATGCGGAGCGCATCCGGCCGGGGCCACGGGCGCCCCCCCCCCCCCGGAAGAGCACCGACCAGGCGCGCTTCAGAGCCTGCGCCGGCCCCCGAAGTCCACTCGAGGTTGTTCTCAGGACCCCTCCTGCTCGTACTCTCTCCTCCTCCTCCTCCTCCTCCTCCTCCTCCTCCTGCTCCTCCTCCTCCTCCTCCTGCTCCTGCTCCTCTCCTCCTCCTCCTCCTCCTCTTCTCCTCCTCTCTCCTCCTCCTCCTCCTCCTCCTCCTCTCTACTCCTCTCCTCCTCCTCCTCCTCTTCCTCCTCCTCCTCTCCTCTCATCCTCCTCTTCCTCTCCTCATCCTCCTCCTCTTCCTCCTCCTTCCTCCTCCTCCCTCCTCCTCCTCCTCCTCCCTCCTCTCCTCCTCCTCCTCCTCCCCCCCTCCTCCTCCTGTGGCCCTCTACGCCTGTGTTCCCCCTCCGCGGCCGATCGCTCGTTGATCAGGAATCGTTCGAGGACTCTCTGATCAGATCGCTGACTGGACATGGCCCGAAAGGCGCGATGGGCCCCAGGGGCCGAGAATAGGCGGGTCCAGCAAAACCAGTATGAGCATGAGTTCTCGAAGGCCCACGCCGATTCCTGAGATCGGCGCCGGGCCTCCCTCCCCCCCTGCGCGCGGAGCTCGCCAAGGGCGGCGCTGGAAGTGCCAGGAGGTCCATCGCCGACCCAAGAGATCCGTGAGGAACTCCGAGCGCGCTTGCTCGTGCCATGCTTCCTCTCTCGAATAGCGGCACCCTCCTGCCGCGAACCTCCCTTTGGACGCCCGAAATTGGTACGGAAAAGATGGGTGCAATGCCCAACAACACATGCTGTCCCCAAACCAGCAAGCGGCCGCTGTTGGGCAGGCGGCCTCCTGTCTCAAATGGACACGGGCCGCGGCGGCGCTCGACGTGAGCAGGAACTGCTTTTGGGCATCGCACCCATTCTTTCCGTACCCGTTTCGCTCGTGCAGACCCCCCCCCCGAACTTCGAACTCCCCGACCTGCACGGTGAGCCCGGCGCCGCCGCGGCGTCCACCGCGGCGGGCGCCTCCGCCACGGGCGCCTCGGCCACGGGCGCGCCCCCGCCCGCCCCCGCGGCGCGGCGGCGGGCGGCGGCGCCGCCGGCCTCCTCGGCCGGCGGAGGGGCCTCGGAGGAGGGCGGCCCGACGGCCGCGGCGGTGCCCGCCGCAGCGGCGACGGGGCAGCGGCGGAGGCGACGGCGGCGGCGGCGGCGGCGGCGGCGGCGGCAGCGACGGCGACCGCTGTGGCGGCGAAGGCGGTGGGGGACGACGGTGCCCGCCGCGCCGGGGGGGGGGGGAAGGCCAGCCTCGGCGCCGGCTGCGGCGTCGGCAGCGGCGGCGTCGAGGGGGCGACCGACGCGCTGCGGCATCATCGCGCCGCGAGGGCCGAGTTAGAAAGGGCAGCCGCACGCGGAGGGCAGCTGCACTCCACCACCATGCCTGGCCAGGGCCAACCTTCGGCGACGACATATGGATTTCGCCCTCCTTACCACTGCCAGGCGGGAGTACACAACACGACAAGGCCCAGGACGGCCCGGGCCAGGACCAATGGTGGTGGATAGCTGCCGTTTCTGAATGGAGGCGGCCGACGTGCTCGGGCATTGGTATTTGGCGCCGCGAGAACTCAGTCAGAGGACAACCACTTTCGACAGCAACGCCGACCCCGAGGCTGCGGCCCCGCGAGACGCCGACCCAGGAGCGTCCCGAAGATCTTGGAGCTCGGTCAAGCATTTTTGCGGGCGGGCACCCAAACATAGTGCACAACTATAAACAAGACGGCAGTAGCATGTGGGGAACGGGGCCTCCACAATGTGTGTTTTGTTTGGGGGCAGCGCGATGACCTGCGACTGTCCGAATTAGCTTGTTCCGAAAGGCCGGCAAGCAAACCAAGAACGCCGCGCGAATCAGCGAGCTCGTGCACCCTACCGTGGCCCGGGAAGCGAGGTGATGCGAGACACGGGGTTCCTCCTCCAGATCGGAAGACAAGGCTGTGACGCGCGGGCCTTCTGGCACGCATCGCAGATGTCGAACTCGCACGCGGCGCAGCCGTAGAGGATGGTACCGCGTGGCGGATCGGCGGCGCAGACGTCGCAGACAAAGTCATCGAGGTTGTCGTGCGGCTTCATGACGTGCCCAGCTGGGCAGCGCACCGCAGCAGCAGCTGCTCGACCTGCAGCCTGCAGGGATCAATCCCGAGGCCGAGTGACTCCAAGAATCGATCCAGACGGGGACCCCAGGCGCGGGGCTGGCGGGGTCAAACCCTGCCGCCGGACTGCTGGACCATAGACTGCTTTCGCGGCAGCGAGATCCCCAGATGCTCTTCTGGAAGGGGGGCGAGCTGGCTTGGGGGCGCCATCGAATATCCCTCTGCCGAAGCCTCCTGCCCATAAGTGTGACATCAGAAAGACTGCCCTCCCTCCCAGCAAGATGCACTCAAGGCTGGACCCCTCTCCTTCGGCAGGCTTCGGATTTTTTCCCACTGCCGCTACAGCAGGAGGAATGAAACTTCAGGGAAGAGGAGGCAGCAACAAGAGGCAGAGCGCGGCGGACATCCTTGACTAAAACCAGGGGCCGTGATCGGCGAGGGGCGTTGTGTGCCTCAAGGCGGTCCCTGGCGGGGAGGACAGGGAGGGGCTTGGGCGAGCAGGCGCAAAAACAGAGAGTCAGACGGCGGGCAATGCAACGAGAGAGTGCCGACCGTCCTTTGGCGGCGCGCAGAGGGGGGTCGGGGAAGGGGGCAAGGCTTCTCAGAAGGAGGCTGCCCCTGAGAAGGTGCCTGCCTTGCACCTGCGGACATCGGCGACACGTAAGAGTGACCCTAGGCAAGAGTGCCCTTTGGCGCGCCGCCTTAGGGGGGCCCGTAGGGGGCCTGGAGCAACCGCGCAAGCCGAGGCCCGCTTCTCAGAAGGCGCGGGCCCTGTCTGACAGAGCCCGCGCCCTCTGAGCAGCGGGGGTGCTTCCACGAAGCCTTCCCCCCTCCCCCTGCCCCCGTCTGCGCGTGGCAGAACCGTGGCGCCCTCCGCGCGTCGTGCGCTGGTCCGCGGCCAGGGGGCCGCCGCGGGTGGCGACCAGGGGGCCGCCGCAGGCTTTACGGATTCCCATGGCTGGCGTCCCAGAAATGAGATGGTGCTTTGGAGTGATTCAGGACTGTCAGGGCGCAACAGTCACGTGCATTCGCTATCCTGCCGTCGCTCGGACGTCCACTTCCCGTGCATCTGTCGGTGTCGTGCGTGTTTTTTTTTTTTTTTTTTTTGCTCGATGGTCCAGGAGGGTCCTCGATGGCTCTCGCCGAGAAACAAAAAGGCACACGTCCGAGCGATGCCAAGCTATGTCGAAGTCCCAGCCTCGCCAGGAGCAGCGACCGTGGCGTCCTCCGCGCGTCGTGCGCCCCCCCGCTGATCCGGGGGCACGCGGCGGGCTGCGCGGTGGCAGGCCCGCCCCCGCGGCGGCCCCGGCGGCGGCGGCAGGCGCAGGCCCCCCCCCCCCCCGGGAGAGGGCGCGCGGCGACGCCTGTCCCGGACGGGCTGCTGCTGCGGCTGCCCTCGCCCCGACGCTTCTCGGACGTCGTCCCTCCGTAGAGGGCAGGACATCCACCCCGATAACCGCCGCCCCGACTCGCGAGGCCGTGTCGTAAACGCACCCCAAGAGGGAATCCGACAGGGCCGCGGGCTGTCTGGTCAACGCCCAGGGCCGTTCAGCCAACGCCAGTTGTCCGGCCCTGGGGTTTTTCCTCCCTTGACTTAAGTCGGGCGTGTCCCCCTACATGGGTATTTCGAGGAAAAAATAAACAATACACAAAAAGATAACCCAAAAATAATCAGGGGGTTATTCTTTGAGTATTTTTTTTTTGTTTTTACCTTTTTAGGGTATTTTTCCTCCCTTGCCCCTGGGCGCCCCCGAAGGAACGGGTCCCGGGGCAGGGGCCGCGGAGCGGGGCGAGGCCTCCCCGCGTCTGGCGGGGCGCCGCACCCGCGGTGGTCCGTGGCGGCTCCCGTGGCGGCCGTGAGGGCAGCGACGTGGCGTTCGCGCGTGCGCCACCGTCTCGCTGGCAGACCGCAAGGTGAGGAGGAGAGAGGAGGAGGAGAGAGGAGGAGGAGGAGGGAGGAGGAGGAGGAGGAGGAGGAGGAGGAGGAGGAGGAGGAGAGAGAGAGGAGGAGGAGGAGGAGGAGGAGGAGGAGGAGGAGGAGGAGGAGGAGGAGGAGGAGGAGGAGGAGGAGGAGGAGGAGGGGGAGACGCAGGCGCGAGTGCCGCGAGCATGCGTTCCGTGCGCCGCTGGGTCCGGTGCGGAGGCGCCCGCCACTAGCGCAGGCCCAGACTCGTGAGCTAGGTGATCTTGCGGATCCGCTACCGGGCCTTCTGTGGAAAACAGCGGCGTCCTCCTGGGCTCATGGCGTTGCAGCGGCAGCGGCGCACGCCTGGTCCGAGAGTATTGCTGCCCGGCTCAGCTAATTTCGCGCGCGCCCTGCCCTACTGCGGCAGGGGGCCAAGCTGCTCGCCGCGGTGCGTCGGGGACTGAGCGCTTTCTCTTGCCTCGTTCTTGCTGGGCGCCACCGCGACCTCTAGGACGTCCGCCGCGCGCGGTACGGTCGCATCCACGGTGAGGAGTACCACGGCGTCCAGCCGCAAGTGCTGTCGGCGGGTCCGTGTGCGCTGGCAGGGTGAGCTGTGAGCGGGTAATGATAATTTAACTGCCGAGCGTGGTCGAGCGCGCTTGCCCACGCCCCTGGAAAGGAATGAGAAGAATGTGACCTTCGCTGTAAAGGCCGACTGGGTGGTCCCTGTACTGAACTCCGCACGGTCAGCAAGCGCGTCGGACAGGAGCACAGAGCCGAGTAGCGCGACGAATTCGCGGCAGATCCAATCGCCAACAGCAGCGCGCGCTGCAATAACGGTCTTGCGCCGAGAGGCGCAGGCGCAGATGGGGGCGAGTCGCGAAACCACTCGGTGATGTCGGCAACGCCGCCGGTGTCCACGGCGCAAGCGAGTTGGCCCAAGCGTGCCACAGGGTCCCAAGTGCCCGACGCCACCACCGCGGCCGGTCGCCGCGTCCGCAGAGTGCGTAGGCTCCCAAGGACTTCCGTGATCCCACGTCGGGCTCCGCGAGCTGCATGGCGCGGGGACCCTCCTGCGCGGCGGGCGGTACGGCGTGGTCCTCTTCCTGGGCACAGCCGCGTGGTGGGTGTGGCGGCAGACCACTGCCGCACGCCCGCGTCGTGGACATCTGCGAAGTCGACCTCCTGGCACAACCTGTGGTGGGTCGCGGCCCCTGCGACAGCGGCGCTCTCGCCCAGCGCGACGTCGGCGCACGCGGCCAGCACGGCGAGGTCCCCGATGTCGGGCCGCACCCATGACAAACCGAAGGCCATGCCGTCCTCTCCCGTCACCTCCGTTCACCACGACATCGCGGCGCCGTTCTTGGCCGCACCGTGTGCCCCCCTCCACGCTCGGCTCGCCGTCGCCGGCCGAGGAGGCCGAGCAGGGCGCGGCCCGACGGCTCTCTCTCTCTCTCTCTCTCTGCTGCCGCGGAGCTCCGCGGCGCAAGCCTCCCGGACCGCCTCCCCAGATCCGCCAACGACTCCGCCGCGCCGTGGCAAGCACGGGGCACGGGAGCCATGCCGGGGCCACCGCCCGGCCCCCGCGCCTCGCCGCCGGCCTGGGCGGCCGCGGCGGGCAGGGTGGCCCTGCGGGCCCTCCGGGCCGAGCGCGGCCGCCGCAGCACGCCGCCGCCCTCCGCCCGCGCCCCGAGGGGCCGCGGGCCAGGGCCTCCCACTGGCCATCGCTCGGACGTCCATCCCCTGTGCCTTTTTCGGCTTCGTGCGTGGTTCTTTCGCCACATGGTCCAGGATGCTCCTCGGTGGTCCTCGCCGAAGGAAACATGCACACGCCCGAGCGATGCCAGGCCCAAGGCTTCCCCCCTCGGCCCTTCTTCCCGCCTCGGGGCCCTCCCCGACGGCCGGCGGCCAAGCAGCGCGCCCAGGCGGCCTCACGAAGACTGGCCCGCACGGGGGCGGCTCCACGCTGCCGCGGCCTCGCGGCGTGCCGCGCTCCGCGCCGCGCTCCCTGCCGCGCCCCTCGCGAGCGCGAGGCCCTGCCGCGCCGTGCGGCTTGGCTCGGGTCGGGCGAAAGGGGGGGATAGCAAAGGGGGGGGGGTGAGAATCAGCTCACGTAGCTGATTTTCCCGGCGCATCCCGGCGCCAGAGGCGGCTGTGTATCGAGGAATGGGCCCCTCGGTGAGGCCGAAACCAGCTGCACGAAGCAAATTTCGTAACCCCCTTCTTTCACAATTCCCCCCTTTCGTCCGGCCCGATTGGCCACCAGCCTGCCAGGCACCCTGCCGCTGCCGCGGGGCGCGCCGCCCGCGCACTCCTGGCGGCAGCGCCGTCGCCACCTCTGCTGGGCCCTGCGGCGGCATGTGCCGGCGGGGGGGGGGCTTTCTGTTTGTGCTCGAGGCCTCGGAGAAGCACACGCGGAGTATATGCGCACTCCGTCTCCGCCGCATTCTCAACGAGATGCGCGGTGCTCCCATGCCGGCGGGACACGCGACGGGGCGGCAAGCCCCCGCCCATAAGTCTCGCCCCCGGCCAGGCGTGGGGCCTCGAGGGGAAGGGCGCTGCTTCGGACTGCATCGGGTCCTCCACTCGTCCTCCCTGGGGGGGGGATGGGGCATGCGCCTGCGCACGGCGGTCGCCTTGGCGCATGCGGCGCAAGGACCTTCTCGCAGGCCGGCCGCGGCCAGCGCGGACTCATCATCGGTGGGGGCCACGGCCGTCGCGCGCGAGAGGCCAGCCTGGCTGGGGCTCGAGCCGAGATGCACTGCTGGGGCCCCTGCTTGGCACCACTCTGGCCACTCTCTTCAAGCAGCGCCCACCCGTGGCGACGATGAGGCCCCTCCTGGGGAAGAGGAATCGAAAGACTGAACATGTGACTGCCTCTGGTTGGTATGCAGGGAACGGGTCCCGAGAGAAACGGGTCCACGGGCCATCTCTGCAGTCTGACTTGTTTCACAAGACCCCGGGGCTCGAAAGGGCCCTAGGACGCCGAAAACAAGGAAACATCCCAGGACCACTCTTGCTGAGGGCCCACTTCATGGCCATTTGGGTCAGCTGGCCTCTGCAGGCTGGGCCTCTGCAGGCTGGGCAGCAGCGGGAGGCTCCTCCGCGCTGGCCCGGGCGCGCTTCGCGGGCTGGTCGTCCGCGCGGTCGGGGGCTTCGGACCCGTCGGACCCGTCCTCGTCCTCGGCCTCCTCCCCAGAACTCTCGGGCGGCTCTGGCGCGTCCAGCAGCTCAGCGGAGATCACCAGCTCCTCGGGGGTAAGCCTTCTGACGTGTCTGGCCCCTGCTGAGGCTTCCGGAAGCCTATGGGGGCGGCCTCTGGAGGCCTCTGGACTCTGGGGGGCACTGCGGGGACCTCTGGGCAACGGAAGATCTGAAGATTTTACGAAGGCAGACGACTCGACTACCCCGGCGGCGTCAACTCTAAATCTGTGTATTGATCGACGGTCAAGTCGCCTGGACCACAACTGGCCCTCATGAGGGTCGACACTTTTCAAAATGCAAAGCGCCCGGCCCGGGCCCACAGAGCCGGCAAAGGCTTTAGGGGCGCCATCCCTGCGATTGTCGCCACTTCTCGAAGACCAAAGCGCCCGGCACACAGCTGGCCCACAGAGCTGGCACAGCCCTCTGGCCCGCCGGGAGCAGCGCCATCCTCGTGAGGGTCGCCACTCTCCGTAGGCCAAGGCGCCCAGTCTACAGTTGGCCCAAATTGAGCCAGCAGAGAACTCCGGACCACCAGGAGGGGCGCCATTCCCGTGAGGGTCGCCACGTTTCGGAAGCCACAGCGCCCGGCCCACGGCTGGCTCACAGAGCTGCCACGGCCCTCCAGCCCGCCGGGAGCAGCACCGTCCCTGTGAGGGTCGCCACTTCTCGAAAGCCCATGCACCACTTCGCCCTCCTCTACCTTCCTCCTCCACCTCCACCTCAACTCCCTTCTCCTCCCCCTCCCCCTCCCCCTCTCCCCCTCCTCCTCCTCCTCCTCCTCCTCCTCCTCCTCCTCCTCCTCCTCCTCCTCCTCCTCCTCCTCCTCCTCCTCCTTCTCTCGTTCAACCATAAGAGCAAAAGCATAAGCAGCAATGATCAAGATCGCTCGACGCAGAGATCCCCATGTGTGCATCTCGTTCTCCTGGCACGTCTTCATGTGGGTACATTGACAGCGAGTCGCTGGCTCGAGACATCCCCGCAGTCTGCAATTCTACGTGCCGGTGGTCGCAAGTCTGAGTGCGACTGAGTGTGATTGTGAGCGAATCTGCAGGCGAGTGAACCTAAATTTGAATTGGTCTGTGTGAGTAAAACGGAGTGCGAGAAAGCTTGGGTGTGATAGTGTCTGAGTGTGCGGAGGCCTGGAACTGAGTGAGTCTGAGTGTGAGTGAGGCCTGAGGTTGGGCGAGTATCGGCATGATGGGTCTGAGCGTGAGCGAGTCTGAGCGTGAGTCTGAATTTGAGTGAGTCTGAGTATGAGTGAGCTGGAGTGAAAATCTGAGTGTGGGCGAGTCTGAGTGCGAGTGAGTCTGAATGTAGGTGAGTCTGAAGGTGAGCGAGTCTGAGTCTGAGTGCGTGCGAGCGTGAATGAGGAAGAGGAGGGGAGGAGGGGGAGATACGGCGGAGTCGTCTAGGCAAAACCCTCTCCGGCGGCGCCCTCTTGGGGTGCGGAAGCAAACGCCTCGCTCGAGACATTCTCTCACTCTGCTTGATCGCATATCCTCTTTCCCATCCCTCCACCTGTTCCGTCATCATCCCCCCTCCTCTAGAGGGCAGAAATCCAGCCCCAGAATAATCACCCCGACACGCGACGCCGTTCAGCAAACGAACCCAAGGAAGGAACTCAATAGGGCAAACCTTTTAGTAAACGCCCAGGGCCGTTTAGTAAACGCCAATTGTCCGGTCTGGGTGTGTTTTTCTCCCTTGATCCTCGGCCGTCTTCCTGCTCCTCCTCCTCCTCCTCCTCCTCCTCCTCCTCCTCCTCCTGCCAGCGCCTCCTCACGCTCTGCTACGACAGGCAGCGCCTCGCTCGAGACATCCTATAACGCTCTGCGCGCAGAGCGAACAGGTCCAAGCCCCCGAGCAGGCAAACCGCTCGAGACATCCCCACAGTCTGGGCGCGATTTTGGTTCCCCCTCCAATCGACGATGACTCAACGATCTCTCAGACTGCAAACCGCCATAGCAATGCTGCCCTGCAGCATGCATCGGAGTGCCCCCCGACCACATGCGGCCCCCCTGCGGGACTCCCACTGCCGCGCCCGCCACATCGCGGTGGGCAGTGGACCACCCGACAAAAAGCCTGGGGAGGCAGAAGCAGGCAAACTGCCTGAGACCTCCCCACACTCTGGGCGCGAATCCTGGAGTGTCCCTACCTTCATGTCGGGCGTGTCCCCCTACAGGGGGATTTTCGATGAAAAATGAAAGATACCCCAAAAATACGACAAAAAAGGTCCAAACATACTAAAAACATAGTCCCTGGACTATTTTTGGAATATGTTTTGTTTATTTTTGGGGCATCTCTGATTGTTCGTCGAACATCCCCCTGTATGGGGGACAGGCTCGACTTGACCCCACCTCTGGCGGCTCCACCCAGGGGTGCCCAGGTGCCACGCCTCCTATGCTGCGGTGTGAGCAGTGGACCACCAGCAAGGAGAGAAGCCTGGGGGGGCGACACAAAATAATCCCCACAATCTGATCGCGAACCCTCTAAAATCCCCCAAATCCCCACAAAGAGAAGTCTGGGGGCGCACCGCCCGAGGAAGCCCCACAACCGGATCGCGAACGGGCCCGTGCGATATACCCCTTGTGGCGCTTCCCCCTTCGGCAGTGCTGAAACCAGCGCCTCGACTCAGACATCCTTATGTTTTGCTCCGAAAGCAGAAGATGTTGGAGGGCAGGAAGAGGCAAACCTTGTGAGACGTCCCCACGAACTGGGCGCAAGTTTTGGAATGTCCCCCACCCCTGACGGTGCCGCCGTGGCAATGCTGAAGCCAGCGACTGGCCAGAGACATCCTCACAATCTTTTCCGAATGCAAATAATGTTTCGGGGACAGGCGCCGACAAACCGCCGGAGACATTCCCACACTCTGGGCGCAAGTCTTGGAATGTCCCCACCCCTGGCGCCCCCCCTCCGGGAGTGCGGAAACCAGCGCCTCGACTCAGGCACCCTCGCAATCTGCTCCGAGGGAAGAAAACATTGGGGGGCAGAGGCAAGCAAACCGCCTGAGACAACCTCAAGAATTGGGCGCGAGTCTTGGAGTGTCCCCCCCCCCTGGCGCCCCCCCCCTCTCGGGAGTACCGAAACCAACGCCTCGTCCGAGACATCCTCCCAAGCTGATGCGGAAGCCAAGGACGTTTGGGGGCAGGCGCAGGCAAACCGCCTGAGATATCCACACGCTCTTGGCGCGAGTTCTGAAGTGCCCTCACCCTTTGTCGCCCCCCCCATCGGAGTGGTGAAACCAACGCCTGGCCCGAGGCATCCTCACAACCTGTGTGTGTGAGAGCAACTCTGGGTCTCAGTGAGCTTGAACAAGGAAGTTGTGCGACTGGAGTCCTGGATAAGTCTAAGTCCGAGTGAGTCTGAGTGGGGAAGCGATGTGGCTGAGTCTCCGTGTGGGAGAATTGCTATGTAATTGACCCCGTGCAGAAGAGTGGGTCTGTGATGGGCCCCGCGATGGGTGTCACCGATCCGCAAATGAATAAGCCCGTGCCGCGGATAATCCAACCTCGGGGATGATAAAATTTGGGCTCTGGGGGGTACTAAACACTTTTCTCGTCAACTCGCATGAGCCGGTGTACGGATGTCCGTGACTTAGGAAAGCTAAACTAGTGAGAGTCCCATGGCCCTGCTACATGGTCGTGACTTGGGAAGGCTGAGATGGTGAGCATCCCATGGCCCTGCTACTGCTACACGTTCGAGACCTGGGAAAGCTGAAATGATGAGAACCCCATTGCCCTGCCACACGTTCGTGACCGTGGCCAACTGGATTCCCATTCGGCTCCTCTCCCTGGCATTGCGGCTCCAACTCGCAGAACTCTGCAAATCCGGCCAGATTCTTTTCCGCATTCTCAGGGAGCATGTAATCTTCGTCCAGGTCATCCGCGTCGTCCTCGCGGAAGCCTTGTGTAACTTCCTTCGAAACAGCTCCGACGGTGAGCTTGAACGTGAACTCGCCGTCCACTGGCACGAACACCTTCATAGCCCACATCTCTTCCCTGCTTTCCCACGACTTCCCCCAGCCCCCCCCACTTCTCCTCCACCTGCCCTCGGATGCTTTCCTCATCATGCCTCGCTCTCAACACCCTCAAGCTCCACAGAGCTCCTCGAAGCTTCCCCAGGCCCTCCTCTTTTCCTCCTCGTTCTCGTCCTCCTCCTTCATTCCTCTTCACTGCTCCTTCCTGCTGTTAGGAAAGAGTGACAGGCGGCCTGAGAGCAAGCAACAAACTGCAAGGCGAAGTAAAACATGGGAGCAGGGAGGGCTGGTGGAGGAGAGAGCTACGGATGCAACTCCTCGTCCCACTCCGGATCGCTCTCCTCGCCTCCTTCGTCTTCCTCCTTCTCCTCGCTCTCCTCGCCTCCTTCTTCTTCCTCCTTCTCCTCATCCACCTCGCCTCCTCGCTTCCTCGCTCTCCTCGCTCTCATTATTTTTCTTCCTCTTCCTCCTCCTCCTCCTCCTCCTCCTCCTCCTCCTCCTCTTGCGACACCCGCGGCACGAAGGACTGGCACCACCCGAACACAACCAAGGCCCAGACGGGGACAAGGGGCGAAGGGAACAGGAGAGAGAAGCTCGCGTCAACCAAAATGCGGCTCCGACCGATCGACGAACAGGTCAGGGCTGGAGGGAGACGACGGACTCATCCATCTCCTCCTTTCCCTCCTTATCCTCCCTCCTTGTCAGCCATCTCCTCCTTCCCCCTCCCTCCCCCTTTCCCCGCACGAGGGAGAAGGGGTTGTGGGGAACGGGAAAATTGGCCAGAAAGGCCCAACCCTATGCAGTTCACCGTAGTGCAGCAGCGCGTGGCCCTCATCTCACACACTGCGCGCCGTAGGAGGGTTCGACGGGGATGGGCTCCAATACAAGAGCGCGATCGGGATGAGGTGTGTGTGTGTGTGTGCCGACATCGGGGGCCGCAGCCGTTTTGGCTCAAGCCGTTGTGCCTCGAGTTCCCAGCCCTCGTGGGGGAGGGGCTGGGATGTTGCCACGGCCATGGGCTCCGGGGCCCAAAACCACAGCTCTGGCGCCTATAGGGCCGCGCGCGCCGCGGCGCGGCGCGTGCAGAGCCTGCCCTTGCCCTATGCAGGCGCTCTCGGCGCGCCAACCCCGGCCTCCCGCTGGGCTGGGCCTGGCAACTGGCTGCCAGCCCGGCGCCCGCCCCCCTGGCGCCGGGCCCAGACATCCGGCTGCCCCAATCCTTTTGGTGCGTGGACCCCAAAGAGGTCCGACCACTTCCCCGGGGCCGGTTTTCCGTCCCGAGTCGTTTTGTTGACGCTCCCGAGGCCCGGCGAGGGGGCCCCCGGAGGCCGATATAACTGGCAAAATCCCGCCGCTCCAATTTTTTTTTTGGAGCGTCGGATCTCAGGTGGCGTGCGGCTCGGCGCTGGCGATGCCGCCGTGGTGGCGGAGGCCGCCGGCGAAGGATCGCGGCGGCGGCGAGAGCGTGCCCGGGCCGGCCGGCGGCGAAAGCGTGCCCCCGCGCGAGGCCCGCGGCGGGCGCAGCTGCGATCTCCCAGAGCCCCGACGTCACGACTTTTGCCATGGCGTCGACCCTATGAGAGGTCTCGACCCCTTCCCCGGGACCGGCTTCTCCTCCCGAGTTGTTCTTTGACGGTCCCGAGGCGCGGTATACAGTCGGGGCGTTGACCTAAGGAACCCTAAATAAGGAACGAGGCCCCTTTTTCCCATAAGTTCAACCTCGATTTCCCATGGAAGACCTCAGGCAAGCCCGAGGCAAACTCTGAAACAATCATGGAACACCGAGCCCCTCCCCAACGAAAAGGGTTCCTTCTGCAGGGCCCCGGCTGCATACGGGCCTCCCGAGGCCGAAGATGCGATATGAAACCTCCCGTCCTGCTTTTCTCAGTGCCCGAGGGGCTCTGGCAGGGGAGGCGGCTGCGGAGCCGCCGGCGACGGCGGAGCCAGCACGGGAGGAGCGGGCTCGGAGGCCGGCTCCGGCGGCCCCGCCGCGGCGCGCGGGTGCCAGCCAGCAAGAGCCGGCGCGGGCCCGCCCTGGCCGCGTAGAGCCGGCATAATTAGGCGCCCAACGTGGACGACATGACGCCCATGTTAACTGAGCATCTTCCTAGGGTGGAGGGCTCAGGGTGAAATCCATATGGGCTTTAATGCACCTCGAGAAGCAATCCGTCTGGTGATTCCCCTTCTGCAGATTCAAGCCCCGAGAAACGATCGAAACGGCATTTCAGATTTCACCCCTTTGCCCTCCACCCACAGAACATGCTCAGGTTGAGAACCACCAGGGGCACACTGCCTGCGTTGACGCATCGCATGGGAGGCCCTGGATCTGGTCGCCACCGGCCGGCCCGGTGGCGGCGTCAGGAAAGCATGGACACAGGACCAGGACGGAGGAGACGCGCGGCTCTGAGGAGAGCGAGCGAGGACCCAGCACCGCAGGAGGGCTGGGAAGGAGGGGGGGGAGCTGGAGGGAGGAGGAGGCGCGCGGCGCTGGGGGTCCCACAACAAGGACCCAACCCCACAGGAGCGCAGCGCTGGGAACGAGGCATGGGGAGCGAAAAAGGAGAGAGAGAGAGAGAGAGAGGGGGGGCTTGCGAACCCAGGGAAAGCGGAGGAGAAGAATGAAGGCTGGAAAGACGTGTGGAAACGATAAGAGCTGGAGGAAAGGTCGGAAGAAGCGGCAACATGGGGAAAAGGATAGGAACATGGGAAGGCTGGGGGAGCACGGAAAGGAAGGGCGAGCAAGGACCCAGATGCGGGAAGGCGGATGTCAGTAGTAGGGGAGAACAGAAAGCAACAGCTGAGGGGACACCCAGGAGAAACCTGATGGAAAAGCTGGGAAAAACTGGGGAGAAGCCTAGGGAGCGCCGATGAGCGAAACGCCTTCAGCCCGCACATCTTCCCCTTCTTCTTCGACCCTTTGGGCAGGAAGAGAAGCATCATGCCAGGGTATCCTCCGAGACTGAACATTCGGCTGAACGTGAACGGGCTCTGCCGGAACGCCTGCAGCCGGTGCCGCGGGACGGTCCAGGTCACCCGGCACCCGTGCACGACGACAACGCCCTCGAGCGTCGTGTGCCGCAGCGACTCCAGGAAGGTCAGTTCGCGAGGGACCTCAGCTCCCAGACCTCCAACGTCGTCACAACAGAAACCAGAGAGTGCACCCCGGCGGCAAGAGACCCCAGGCAACAGGCCCAAAGGACGAGAAGAACATGCTGCAGCAGGGGCCCGACCACAAGAAACCTTCCCAAAGAAACCAAACCCTGAGACCCCAGGACGTCAATTGATTTTTGGTGTCGGAACGTTATGCTTCCCACAGAAACACCATCGAAACCCAAGAAACCCAGGGCACCCTGGAGGCAAGCAGGGCGTTTCTTGGCATGGGTCTCCACTGTACTGCACTGCGCACACACTGGAGACCATGCGGGAAAACCTGCGGGAGACCATGCGGTGGACCAACCGGGAAGCCATGCGGGAAACCGTCGGGGAGACCACACGGGGCACCACACAAGTGACCATGCGGGAGGCCGTACGAGAGACCATGCGGGAACATGTAGGGGAGACCGCACGGCAGACCACATGGGAGGGCGCACGAAAGACTGCAAGCCACTGGTTCCTGATCCAGATTCGCTCACACCTGGCTTTAGAACAGCTGGGCAGGATCCACACAGACAAGCTGTTTAACCATTTCTCTGCAATCTGCTTCCCCAGGGGACGCTTCGAGGACTCCGAGGACACAAAGACAGCTCAGAATGGGAAACTGGCTCCGCAAAGGGGCCGGGACTTCTGGGTGGCCCTCGTATGCAAAAACGACGGCATCGGAGGTCTGGGTCAGGAGGTACACCGAAGACGAACAAACAATTAATACGTCACTTTCCCCAAGCAGTGCTTGCACTTAGGGTATCTTACCTATGCTACTTGGATGGTGACGCCCATGGCCGCCTTGGAGGCGGGCAGAAGACCCGGAAAGAGAACAGGGCGCAGCAGCGGAGGAAGGAGCATAACCATGCCCCTCCCTACTATTTAAAAGGCTCCCCCCTATATATGTATACACATATGTATATATACACATACATATATATAAACATATTCATATACTTATACTTATATAAGACCTGAAACATCCGCGGGGGCCCCGAACATGAAGGACTCTTGCAGCCAAGCAAACCCCAGCGGGGGCGCCCGATACGCCAGCGCCGATTGGACCCGGAGGGGGCTGGGCACCTAAGCCGTCGCGGAAAAAGGGGGAATCGTGGGTCACGTCTCCTCTGTTCTCTGGGCGCAACACCCCACGCCGACCCTGAGATCATGTACGCTTCAGCCAGGCCAAGGGCCCCCCCCAGCTCTGCTCGGCCCGCGCGCGCGCACAGCTGCGAGCGGCGCCTCGAGCGCGCTGCAGGCCAGAGCCAAAAAGCGGTGACCTCCCACCCGTTCCGCGGCGCAGCCGGAGCGGGTGCCTTGCCGTGGCCCCACTGGCTGCCCAAAGTCTCGCGATCCATCGATCTGTCCTGTCGAGGGCACGATCTGCCAAAGCAGCCGTCGGAGCAACGAGTCTATCCATAGATCTGGGTGTGCCGGTCTCACGACCTAGAAGTTCCCCACACAGGGCTGGCGATCACGGCCTCTTACTTGTCTGTTGCAGGGAACTGGGCCGGGGTGCTGGTCTGGCGGCTACGCTCTCGTCGTCGCCGCCCCATCGATGCCTCGACGCCGCCCGTCGTCTGGGCCTGGGTGATGGTCTGGCGGCTATGTTCTCGCCGTCGCCACCCCGTCGCCCTTGCCGCCCAGTGGCCGCGTCGTCGCCGCCCGCCTCCTCGTCGCCGCATTGCTTTGCACTGCTTTGCGGCACATTGCGTTGCATTACATTGATTTGCGTTGCGCTGTTTGCGTTGCTTTGCCCTGGTTTACGCTGAGTTCCATTGTTTTGCGTTGCTTTGACCCACGTTGCATTGCATTACGTTGATTTGCATTGCGTTGTTTGCGTTGCTCTGCACTGCTTTACGTTGAATTGCTTTGCTTCGAATTGCTTTCAAAGCAATGCGAAGCAATGCAATTAAAAAAAGCAGCTCTGTTCGCTGCGTTAATTTACTTTCCCCAAACAGTGCTTGCGCTCTGGGATTCTTACTTGTTCGTCACAAGGAAATAAACCTGCGTGGCGATCCGGCGGCTATGTCGTCGCCGTTGCCACCCCGTCGCCGCCTCGTCGCCGCCCCCGCCCGTCGTCTGTGCCTGTGTGGCGGTCTGGCGGCTATGTCGTCGCCGTCGCCGCCTCGTCGCCAACTTGTCGCCACCCGTCGCCTGGCCTTCTTGAATTCACAACATAATTTGCAACGCATATGCATTACGAAGGTTGCACCGCATATTTTGCACAACATAAATGGCTCCACATCGATTGCAAAACATAGATTGCCCCACATCAGTTGCACAATACGTATATTTGTTTGCATATCTATGTATATAAAAATAGTACCGCCTAGAGCGTGCAACATACACTGCGCAACATAAATTGCTCAACTTACCCACATCAGGTGCATCACGCAGGTTGCACCACAGAACCTGCTCCTCATAGACTGCACGACATGGAGTACAACTCGTAACATACATCGCACAGCATACGCTGCACTAGCAGAGATTGCTCCACACATGTTCCACCACATATGTTGCATCACATACAAACACTTAGGTGTATATATATATATACAGCACTAAAAAAGATGGCACAACATCGAGACAACCATCGGGTCAACCATCCGTTCAACCATCGGGACGACCATCGAGACATTCATCGGGACAACGATCAAGACAACCATCGGGACAACTATGGGGACAACTATGGGGGAATTGTGATCGGGAGAACTATCGAGACAACCGTCGGGAAAACCGTCGGGACAACCATCTCTATCCGTCTCTGCACCGATCGGCCTCATTACGTATAGTTCCCGCGACCGATTTACCCATACCACGACTAATATGTGTTGATCTCACTGTTTGTTTGTATATGTATACGACAGCCGGGACAACCATCGGGACAACCACCGCTATCTGGACAACCGTCGTGACAACCACCCCCATCGGGATAACTATCGGGACAACCACCTCCATGAGGACAACCATCGGAACAACTAGGGGGACAACCAGCAGGCAAACCAGGGGGAAGACCATTGGGACAACAACTTTGAACGTATCTAGGTTTATTGGGACAGACATGCCTGGTTGGGGCACCTCACGTTTCACCTCGGTCGCCTCGGTCTCACCCCTCCCAACGCCCGATCACACCGCAATGCGTAATGCACAGCTCCCATCACGGAGTCATGAGGCAAAGCCCTCTGAATGTACACGATACGTGCGCAATTGCGACGCTCGACTTCTCTGAGCACCGGGCCGTCGTAACGAAGATGGTGGAGTCCACTTCCATCGGTCCAGGACATTCGTCAACTGGGTCGTATCTCCTCATCCAGGGCCCACATATCTGATGCGGGTAGCCTTCGCAGAAATTGGCGTGAGTAACGGATGCTTGCTCATCGTCCTCCACTATCTGGAAACGCTTATCCTTACATGCCTTGCCACCTACCAACCAATAGCCGTTCGTCGAGCAGAAGAGGTACAAATCTGTTTTCTCATGCTTCCAGACGGGTTCACCATTGGCCAGCATGCCACCGACCAACTTGTACAGCCCCTCGAAATGATACGGCTGCCCTGGGGATAGCGCATGAATGAACAATCGAGGCGGCGTTTGCTCTTCCCCTCCACAACAAGGGCAGGTGTCCCCATGCTTGACCGTCCAATAGTCTCCGTATTCCTGCAAAAATTCCCGTACAACCTTCGAGTCCTCTGGGGCGTAGCTGAGCGACAACGTGTTCACTTGCCGAAGGGATTCAAAGACGCTGCCCCTGAACGAGTGGAACAGCTCTGGCAATTTAGCCGTCCAAACACGAGACGCCATTCGAGCGAAATCTGCAAGCACCGTCAGTTTTCTGTCTCGGCTGGCGTGGTGCACCTCTTCGAGGAAGGCCAAGACGACGTGAGGGGCGAGACTTAATATCGAAACCATCGAGAGCAGAGGGGCGGCGCCGTTGCAGTTCTCACTCAAAGGCCTGGCCCCGTTTAAAATGAGAAGCCTGATGAGGACCTTAACGAAAGAAAGCTGATGCAAACTGTCGTTCTCGTCAAGCGGTTTCATGTACCGGTACGCCAGGCAGTGCAGGGAGCTGAAGGGGGCCGAATCAGCACAACAATGCTTCGGGAGGTAGGTGGCGTCGTCAGTGAGTCGCCACTCTATAGCTTGCACCTCTCGGTAATGCTTC